ATTGAACAAGCTCAATTTAGAAGCTGATTGGCTACCATGTGCACCTGCACCGGATTCTGAGTGCACCAATTTTAGTAAATCTCCCCATTTTCTGTCTTGGTGGCGATGGTCTCCAGGGCAAATAAAGAGGGTGAATCTTTGTGGGGACACATAAAGCAATACAATCTATAAAAAGAGTCTAACCCTTCTCTACTCTTTTCAAAACTGAAGAACCAAATGTTGCCTGTACATACATTTTAAGAAATAACCCTGGGAAAGTAAGTGCAGTTCACACAGAATTTTAAATACAGCACCAATTTCCCATAATAAAGACAAGAAAATCATATAAATCATTGCAACTAAGCTCATTAAATAAGAGTTCTTCAAGGGCATTTATAAAACCGGCTACCTTGTTTCTTAGTAAACTAAGCAACAATAATTTAATGACGATATATAATACACTAAAATTAGAATACATTTGCATTCTTCAGGTTTCTGTTGGAGATACTTGAATATACAATAAATCATAATAAATCTTTCCTTTGGAAAAGATAAATATTGCTCTAGAAGCTCTACCAGTTTCTCAAATAATCCAATGCCACAGATGGCCCTTTGTTACTCCTGAATGTATTAGAGGTAGCTGGTTTCCAGTATTAGCTACCAAGAAACAATCAAGCTGTACCTATTAATCACTTAAACATCTCAGACTGAGATTGGTTTTTAAGAACAATTATCATTCATAGGACAAAATAGATCCACACATTTAAACCAATGGTGTTTGAGAAAATGTTTAGTTATCCCTACATGCCATATGAAGTTTTAAAATGTTTCTTTTTTTAAATATTGTTACACATATGTTATTATTATTATTATTATACAGGATTTATATAGCGCCAACAGTTTGCACAGCGCTTTACAATATATGGGAAACAGTACAATTACAATATATTTCAGTACAGAAGGAAATGTGAGGGCCCTGCTCGTGGAGCTTACAATCTAAAGGAAGGGGGAGGTGATACAAAAGGTGATAGCTGTGGGGGATGATCTGGCGGAGGTGAATCAAGTACAGTTCTTAGGTGGAGGTGGGGTAGGCTTCCCCGAAGAAGTGAGTTTTCAAAGATCGCCTAAAGGCAGACAGGGTGGGGGCTGACCGGACAAGTTGTGGTAGGGAGTTCCAGAGGATGGGAGAGGCTCTGGAGAAAAACTGGAGGCGAGCGTGCGAGGAGGTGATGAGGGAGCTAGAGAGGAGGATATCTTGGGAGGAGCGGAGTGGGCGATTTGGGCGGTATCTGTGGATGAGGTTGGTGATGTAGCTAGGGGCAATGTTGTGGATGGCTTTGTAAGCTGTGGTTAGTATTTTGAATTTTATACGTTGGGTTAGTGGAAGCCAGTGAAGGGATTGGCAGAGAGGGGCAGCAGTCGCTGATCGCTTGGTAAGGTGTATGAGTCTAGCAGCACCATTCGTAATAGACTGAAGGGGGGGATAGCCTGTGTAACGACAGACCAGTGAGGAGGGAGTTGCAGTAATCAAGGCGGGATAAACCATATGTAAAAAATATTTAATGTGTTGGTGATGTCACAGATGAGAAATGGGCAGGGGTTAGGCAAAAGGGGTAGGATTGTACCTACCTGACTGTCATCCAATATCTATAGGCAGCTTCTATGTGATATTGTTACTAAGGCTGGCCATACACTATACAATTTTCTTGAGAATTTTGCTTTAGATTTACCAAAAAACCATATAATATGAGGTCAAACCTAAACCAAACTTTCAATTGTATCCAATCAGGCAGGCCCTTGTGCTACATAGTTGAAGGTAAATCTAAAGGAAATTGGGCAGAAATTGGACAGAAAAATGTAAGAAAATTATATAGTGTATGGCCAGCCTATGTATCTGTTAATTATGGCAATCCCTCATCAGCTTGCTACATCAAGGGTTCTTCTGTAATCACCAGCAATCACAGCATGTGTCAAATGTCTGACAGGAGTTGTCAGAAGTCATTTAAATATTCAGTAAATAGCTGAATCTTCAGAATCAGAGACTGACTTTCTACTACATGTAGGTGACACACCAGCTAATTCTAACATACACTAGAGTTCAAGGTAGATTTTAATGATCAGTACTTTCTGCGTATACTAAAACTGCTTAAACAGTAACTCCACTTTTGTTGAGAAAAAAGATTCCCCTCTGGGTGATCTATGTTCTTTGGAAGGATCTTAAACTTTATTGCAGATTCCTACCTTTTGTTATTCTGAAGAATGAGTTATTTGTTTGTCTGTGTCCATGTGCAGAGTGAATCTCTATGGGAATGGTTTTATAATTTACCAATTCAGCTGCTGCACCTGCAGGGCTCTAAAGAGGAAAGTGGCATTGTCTGCATCCGTTTAGATGTAATTTCCCTTTGGGAGTATCTCACCAAAAAAAAAACATTTTTGGTGCAGGGGATTCCCAAAATGTGATTTGTATCTTAGTTAGTGAAAAATTTCTGGGAAAATCAGTGAGTCAATCAGACAAGCAGGAAATTACATTTCTGGGGGATGCTCTGTACACCATCCGTGTATGAAACACCTCGAGGTTGCCATATTGCATTGTACTTTACAGAAAGTTACAGTGCTACAGGAAGATAATCTTTAAAAAATCATTCAATTACAATATGACTTGTGTCGCAATTGTATACGCTATATATATGTGTGTGTGTGTGTGTTTTGCTATTTTTTCCCACAAAAGTGGAGTTACCCTTTAAACTTCAGGCTAACAGCTATTTAGCAGAACTGTATTTACAGAACTGGAACACATTCATGTTGCAAATTATAAAAGTCTTGTAATTTTGATCAGTCCGTTTAGTACTTCTGGTCTCTTTCAGAAAGCACAATGAGATATCTGAACTTTGTGCTGCCTATAAGACTCACTTTAGCCTGTTAAGTGGAAAAAAATGCTGTCTGCGGTGGCAGACACTTGAAGTAAGTAGCACTGTAGAAAGAAATTGCTAGTACTTGCCAGTGGCTGGCCAAACTGAGCCCCTCATAGATCTTCATTTGGTTAGAGCAATGAATCCCTTTGTTGCCAGGTCCATACATTGCATGGACCTGACAATGGGGATTTTACACACACTCATACATTGTGTGTAAGTCTGACAAGCTGACTTCTGGCTGGCTGATGACTCTGCCGGTGCCAGATTACTTGCATACCGACCTGGTAATAGCTGCCCCCCCCCCCCCCCGCCATATATCCCGGGCTCCGCTTGTCCATCTGCAGGTCTGGTACCAGCATGGCAGGCGCTGCCAGTTTGGGGGGAGAGAGCTGAGTGGAACTATGTCCGCTCTCCTCCCCTTCTTGTTGTTTTGTCCCTTCTTTCTGGGTCCCCCTGTTACTGTCTCTGGCTAGCATGGCCAGGAAAGAATCTAATGCAGTGCAATCTGTACTGCACTGAATGCAGTGGAGCACAGTGGAGACATATGTGCTGCAACACATATTACATTATTGCAGCACACACCAGAGAGAGAGCAATATTTCTAGTACCAGATCTCCTCCGTATCGCTAAGCTGATGACCTATAGGGGCTATCAAATCATCGCTTACAGAAAATATAGGGTATTGAAGTTTGTCACCATCTCATGGTGCAAACAAATCGAAGGTTTGACATATTGGTTATCTATTTACTCGGTGCAACCTCATCTTTTATATTTTACAAAAAATTGGGTAATTTATTGCATTTGTGTGTCCCCAAATAACTTTGGTGTATTATTTACAGAAATTTAGCATTTCCTAAACCTTTGTGGTTATATTGTGATATACAAAATTTAAGCTAACACTATTTTTTCTCTAAGGTGTCTGCTTTCAGAAAATATATCATATTTTGGGGTGTTGTGCAATAGTCAGGCCTAAAATTATTTTTTAAACATGTGTGCAAAAAACTGCCAACAAACACTACATTCAAGTGTGAGAGGGTGCTAAAAGACAAGAAACTGGCTTGTATTATTAGTGTGATGGTTGGCTAAGTTTTTTTAGTTGTATGGCAGAGTGTTTGGTTAGCAATTATTCCCATGAGTTGTGAGTGCTGCGGCAATCATGTTTGTCTGTTGAGTGTACAGACATGCATGCTCATGCATGTTACCTCTATTAAATGAAGCAACAGACTCAACCACTATGACTTTGGTACTGGTATTTTCTGCACAGGAGGGTTGGTGTTTGGAATAGGGCTCTGACAGCAAAAGGATTAAAGGCCATGTAAGCTTCCATACCAGAATTGCGACTTCATAAAGAATTGGCGATTTTTAACTTGGACCACTGTTGTTTGCTTTTGCATATTCAAGCTGAGAAAAGGGATGTCATTTATTCTTAATAATTAGAATCAATGTGGATTTTGATTTGCTAACAATGTTCTTTTTGTATCGTCATTACAATAAAAGCTATGGCCATTAAAAAAAAAAGGAAAAATAAATGTATGTTCTGCAAATTTTTTAGGTGATCCTATAGTAAAAGTCTACAGGGCCAAAAATGTGAAATCCTACCCCAAAGAAGCTTCTGCCCTGCCCTGCACCTCACTCCTAAAAAAGTGTGCACAAATGCACAAAAAAGCCCCAAAATTGCCAGCATACACTACATTACTCCAGTAAGTTGTGAGTGCTACAGCAATCATGTTTGTCTGCTGAGTGTACAGACATGCAAGCTGATGCATGTTACCTCTATTAAATGCAGCAACAGACTCAGCCACCATGACTATGGCACTGGTATCTTCTGCATAGGAGGGTTGGTGTTCGGAACAGGGACTGTGACTTAGGAAAGGTGAGTATGCAAACAAGTGTCACAGTTGCAGATGGGGTAATTTTTAGCATTACAAGGCAGGTTGATGTTGTTAGAGCCGAATATTTATTGTATGCTACCTAAATTCTGTGGCCAGCTCTTTTCACCAAAATAAATTAACCACTGCTAATTAAGTGTTTTTTTAAGTCAGCAATAGAACAACTGCACATCAATGTTTTAATTATAAATGTAATCTAAACTTCGTTTCTGTTACTTACCTTGACAGAATGTGGCATTGATGCGTTTGTAACCTTGAGGACACTCCATATACTGGGAATATGCTGGATGACCTGCAAAAAAAAATGTATACCTTCAGTAAGTTGTTTTTAAATAGACCTTATCATTAGTTGATCACTGTGTTGCTCATTAGAGTACTGCCATGCAACAGTAAATCTATAACTAAGTAATCATTAATATATGTTTACTGTACACTAGTAATAGCCAATCAAATAAACCCCAAAACACTTTTTTTATCTTTATTTTATTTAGGCTTCTTTATGACTGCATGTGATGTGGCTAGCATAGCTTGGTAAGCAATGTCTGTTCAACTTCATAAGAATGTAGGACCTGCACGGGGCTCATTTAACCACTTGCCCACAGGGCACTTATACCCCCTTCCTGCCCAGGCAAATTTCCAGCTTTCAGCGCTGTTGCACTTTGAATGACAATTGCGCGGTCATGCAACACTGTACCCATATAAAATTTTTATCATTTTTTTGTGACATTTTGTGAAATAACATTTTTTAAATAAGTGATTTTTCTCCTTCACTGATGTGCGCTAATGAGGCTGCACTGATGGGCACTGATAGGCTGCACTGATGGTCACTGATTAGGAGGCACTGGTAGGTGGCACTGATGGGCATTGACAGGCATCATTGATGGGCACTGAAATGCAGCACTGATATATGGCACTGAGAGGCGGCACTGATAGGTGGCACTGACTGGCACTGATAGGCAGCACTGATGGGCACTGATGCACACTAATAGACGGCACTGATAGGTGGCACTGATTGGCAGCACTGATAGGTGGCACTGACTGTCATTGATAAGTGGCACTGACTGGCACTGATGGGTGACACTGAAAGGCAGCTCAGATGGGCACTGATATGTGGCATTGATGTGGCACTGATGGGCACTAAAATGTGGTCCTGCAGCTTTCAGCCCGTACCTTCATATGGGCTGTCTATTGACAGCTGCAGGACTTGTGATTAATTATGAGAACGCTCATCAGCGCCCTGGCAGCTCATTCAGAACTACAAGCCATCAGCATTGGTGGATGATAGTAATAAAGTTCATTCATTCACAGGACACTTGCCATGTGGGTGGAGCCCTGCACGGCTGCACTGCTTTTAGGTTGTGACAGTGCCTGCGGGGAGAAGATCCCCCACCCATTGTCACATCAAGGAGGGTGGGGAAAAGGGCAGAAGGCACTGGAACATGTTGCATGTTCAACCCTAAATATGGGTGTAACATGAAAAATGTTCCAAAAGGAGAAATTAGACTTTAAATGCCACAGTCCCTCTAACTGCAAATCGTAGCCAAGACAGAATTCACAGATCCCTGCAATATGCATAAAAAAAATCAGAAGCAAGGAAAAAAAGCCACTGCAGACTGGATCTATCACAACATAAATCGTCGGTTGACGTATTTCACCCAATCAGAGCTTACTCATGTTATTGCTATGGATGATTTATACAACAAACAAAAGGTTTTTGTGATCCATCTGGTGTGCACCGGCTCTTCTCTTTGCCTCTGGTTTATGAGCGTGGAAGATTGCCTTTAGCACCTGGGGTTTGAGTGGCAGCGAGGAAAAGCTGCTTGGAGCAGGGAGTCTGTTTTATGTTAGAAATAGATCAGGATACAAAATTTTGCCCTTTGAATTTTCCTGTGCATATAACATGGATCTGAGTAAGTGGACTAGGTTTTAACTGCAAACTCCGGTCCTGTGGCATTCAAAATAAACCTATGGATGAAAGGAATGTATGGCTACACAGCCACACACATGTGATACCCTGGAATATTCCCATAGAAGGGAGAAGGAAATAGCAAAGTACATCTTAAACAACATATTAATTTAGTGCCTTCAACTGTTTATAGTATTCGTCCCAGGGCTCTCATATTAGTTCTGCATGATATACCTTATTTTGCAATGAAGCACATACAGTACAGTGTTTATAGTCTGGACATAGTCTCTCCTGTCCATGAAGGCAAACTAAACCGTTCATCTTAGTTGCTAGAGTATATTCTGAATAAACCCAGGAATAAAAGGAGAGTACATTATGCATAAATGCAGGACATAGAAGGGTTAAAGTGGTAGTAAATTCAGAAACTGGCCAAAAGCTGATAGGCAAGGTTTTTATAACAGAAGAGACCCTAGAGGTTTCTTCTGTCGTAAATGTCAGCAGGTATTGTAATCAGAGCTGCACATGCACAGTTCGGACCACATTTACTGTCCATTCTGCATGCCGTGGCAAAGTCTCTCCCGTGCGCATGAGCGGGAGTGTTGTCACCTCGGCCCGGCCATTAAAGCAGCCAAAGATATGAAACGCCGAAGGTGAAGATGGAAGTCGGGGATCAGGCAGAGCCATGACAGCGCATCAATGGAGGGCTCGTCTATAGGTAAGTCTGCAATAATGTACTAATATGCAGTGCATTTCAGTAAATTAGGACTTAAACCTGCAGGGGGGGGGGGGGGGGCATTTTTTTTACATTAGTGAAAAGACTTTGCTACCGATTTAAGAAAGCATTGTAATTCGTAATATTAAAAGAACCAGTTGTGCTGCCCTAATACAAATACATGTGTGACAAGATAAATACAATTAGGTCTATATATATTTGGACACAGGAACAATTTTAGATTTTTTTTAGGTATTTACCAGGACATATTCAAGCTATAGTTATATAATGGATATGGGCTGAAAGTGCACACTCTCAGGTTTAATTTGAGGGTTTGTACATCCAAATTGGAGGAAGGGTTTAGGAATTACAGCTCTTAAGAGTAGCCATCCCCCCTTTTTCAAGGGACCAAAAGTAAAATGGACAATTGAATCAAAAGCTGTTTCATGGCCAGGTGTGGGCTACTCCTTCTTTACTTGTGGTATGTGCATTTGGAATCTATTGCTGTGAACCTACATCATGCATTCAAAGCAGCTGTCCATACAAGTGAAACAGGCCATTGTAAGGCTTCAAAAAACTAAAACAAATCCATCAGAGAGATAGCAGCAACATTAGGAGTGGTCAAATCAACAGTTTGGTACATTCTGAAGAACGAAGAATGCATTGGTGAACTCAGCAATATAAAAGGGCATGGACATCCACAGAAGACAACAGTGGTGGATGATCACAGGATCCTCTCTATGGTAAAGAAAAACCCATTCATAACATCCAGACAAGTGAAGGACACTCTCCAGGAGGTGAGTGTATCATTGTTAAAGTCTACAATCAAGAGAAGACTTCACGAGAGCAAATACAGAGGGTTCACTACAAGGTGCAAACCATTCATAAGCCTGAAGAATAGAAAAGCCAGATTAGACTTTGCCAAAATAATCTAAATAAGCCAGACCAGCTCTGGAAAAGCATTATTTGGATGGATGAACTAAGATGAATCTGTACCAGAATGATGGGAAGAAAAAAGTGTGGAGAAAGCAAGGAACAGCTCATGATCCAAAGCACACAACGGCATCTGTAAAACATGGTGGAGGCAGTGTGATGGCATGGGCATGCATGGCTTCCAGTGGCTCTGGGTCATTGGTGTTTATTTATGATGTGACAGAAGACAGAAGCAGCCAGATGAATTCTGCAGTTTACAGATATACTGTCAACCCAGATTCAGCCAAATGCAGCAAAGTTGATTGGACATCGCTTCACAGTACAGATGAACAATGATCCAAAACACACTGCAAAAGCAACCCAAGAGCTTTTGAAGGAAAAGAAGTGCAATAATCTGCAATTGCCAAGTCAATCACCTGATCTCAACCCAATTGAGCATGCATTTCACTTGCTGAAAGCAAAACTAAAGGCAGAAAGATCCACAAACAGCGAACAACTGAAGACAGCTGTAGTTAGAGCCTGGCAAAGCATCAGAAAGGAGGAAACCCAGTCTTTGGTAAAGTCCATAGGTTTCAGACTCCAGGCAGTCATTGCCTGTAAAGGATTCTCAACAAAATATTACAAATGAACATTTTATTTATGATTATATTCAATTGTCCAATTACTTTTGGTCCTTTGAAAAAGGGGGGGGGGGGGCGGGCTACTCTTAAGAGCTGTAACTCCTAAACCCTTCCTCCAATTTTGATGTACATAACCTCAAATTAAATCTGAGAGTGTGCACTTTCAGCAGATATTTATTATATAACTATAGCATCAATATGTTTTTGTAAATACCTGAAATACCTAACTGTATATAACTGTGTTTACTAACCCCCTCATTCAGAATGCTGATGTTTATCTTCAATGCTTTCAAAAGTCACTGATGCAAAAAAAAAAAAAAAACATTGGGAAAAAAGAGGCAGTTATCCCTAGCCCCTACCAGACTGCACATCATTGGTTCAATGGACTCTTCCTATCCCAAGCTTAACAGACATGGGATCCAGCAACCAACACTGCAGTACTAATGTATCCCTCTTCACTACAGTCACTGCTTCCTATCACTACCACTCTATGACAGGGTTCAGAAGTGACAGTAGAGGCAAGTGGTGTGATGAACACACATCACAGTGCTCACTTCTGCTGTCACTAAGGAATTCTGATGACATTGATATCATAGGATTTCTCTAGAAGACAGAAAGTGAAATTCCAAACAATTAAAATTGCACTCTATATATGTATTTATTAAAAAGCAATGAATGTATTTTTAAAAACTGCTCAATTACTTGAAGTCCTCACATTGGCCTTACATTAGCTACTCCAAATCCCCGGGGATGTGAAAATAAGGCAGAGGGAATTGTAATTTATGCAGTGCTTTAAATATATATATATATAGTACCAGTCTTAACCCACAACGTACAGTCCCTACTCATATATACACCAATTAACCTAACTACCTGCATGTCTTTGGAGGGTGGGAGGAAACTAGAGTACCCAGAGGAAACCCACACAGGTACAGGGAGAACATGCAAGCTCCAGGCAGGTGGTGCCACGGCTGCGATTTGAACCAAAAGCCCTAGTGCTGCTATTTAGTCACTGTGCTGCCCATATTATGAAAAAGATCACACTATGCAATACTAGACAGCACTGTCATCCCAATGTATTAGGGACTGAAAGGGGACAAGTTTGCTCATTTTTTGGGGGG